CCGCGCTTCCCAAGCGGCGCACTTATCCAGTGCGCCACCGGGCCGGCCCCACAAATGTTCATTTTTAAATGTATATCCATATTTAAAATTACATGAGATCAAGTGTCATCCCAAAGATGAATAAATCTTAATTTTATGTCAAAAAGGGCTGAAAAATTATAATTTAGAGAGAGTGAATGTAAGTTAGAAAGGACTAATTCATTGATAGTCAAAGAAGAGGCAAAGTTCTAGCTCCAGTAACAATGAAATATCTGGCATTGGACTAACCTTCCCACAGATGACAATGATAAACTCTGGGCCAAATACAAAAACAATTTGAAGATACCAAAGAGCAGCCCAAAGCAGGAAGAAATGGGAGGGGATTCAATCCATGAAAGAAAGGAACCACACTAGATGATATCTACATGTATACAGCATTTCTCCTGAGGGACCTCCCTAACCTTCATGGTGTGGAGTGGCCAGAAGTTAGGCATAAATCCTCACTCTTACTGAGCTGAGGTAATGGAGGACAGAGGTCAGAGGTCCAGAGTGGATGAAAATTTGGGGGGTGGGGGTAGGGAATTCCAGAAAGGAGGGAGCCACACAGCAAGGTGGTCCAAATCTGCATATAAACTCCCCTTGAACTCTTGGCTGACCCCTGAATCATATATGGGTGCTCTCCATAGGGTCCACCAACAAGCCAGTGTTAGAAGGCAGAAAAAGCTGGGCAGAGATTTAAGCTGCTGTTTACAGCAGGAGAGAAAGAAATTGGAATTGGAATCCTATTAAGTTAGAGGGGCTATGTAACCATCTCAGGCTTTTCACTAAAACCCCAGATGGGTCATGCCTTAGGAGTAGAAACTATATCCCAGGACTAAGAATTTGCCCTAAGACTAACAGTAAAACTGAAGAACACCCCAACAAAGCATAAATACAGAGTACTACAACTTTAAGGTGATCATCTAGTAATTTGCCTGAATTCTAGAACAAAAACCAATACTCTTCAGAGGAACATGATCCAGAGTCTCTACAATGTATTATCCACAATGTCTATAATACATAAAGTTTACTGGGCATGTGAAGAAATAAGAAGATGTGACCCATAGTCAAGAAAAAAAAAAAAAAGCAATCAAGAGAAGCCCAAAGTTGGCTCAGATATTAAAATTAACAGACAAAGGACTTCAAAGCAGCTATTATAGCTATATTAAAGGACTTAAAGGAAATAGTGGTTATGAGAGAACAGATGGGAAATCATGGCATAAAACTGGAAACTATAGCAACTTTAAAAAGGAATCAAGTAGAAGTTCCAGAACTGAAATTCCAGTTCAATATCTGAAATGAAAAATTCAGTGGTTGGCCTTACCAATAGATTGGGAGTGGCAGGAAAAATGGCCAATAAGCCCAAAGACAGACTGATATAGCTAAACTGAAGAACAAAGAGGAAAACAAATGTTTAATAAACAGAGCCTCCATGATCTGTGGGATATTAAAAGAGCTAATATGTGTGCAACTAGAGCCACACACACAGAGAGAGAGAGAGAGAGAGAGAGAGAGAGAGAGAGAGAGAGAGAGAGAGAGAGA